AGAGCCACTGCAGCCGGCTCCTCAGGGCACATGGAGCTGCCTGCAGGTGCCGCAGGGTTACCGCCCCCCCAGCACTGCAGCCGGGGCTGGGCGAAGCGGCCCGAGCTGCCCAGGGACTGCAGCAGGGCGGCCAGAAGCAGCAGGAGCAGTGGGGCCATAGAGGGCGGGGCGCTGCCGTGCGGGATCCACGTCCTGCTCTCCGGGGCTCCGCTCCCACTGGGGCTACCCTGCCCTGTCTCCTTAGCCCCCTGCCGGGGCGGTCCCCCAGCTCTGCCATCCCACATCAGGAGCCCTGACTGGAGGGACCCTGGGCTGAGGCGTGCCTGGGAGCCCCGCTGCTTACCCAACCCTGCCAGTGCAGACTGGCTGGAGGCGAGGGGGGAGTGGGCTGAGTCAGCACTGGTAGCGGGGAGCCCAGGCCTGGGGCGGCAGGGGGTGCAGTTGGGGTGGGGGGGAGAGCCCAGGCCTGGGGCAGCAGAGGGTGCAGGTGAGGGAGGGCACTGGTGGTGGGGGACAGCCCAGGGCTGGGGTGGGGGGCAGCCACAAATTTTTTGCTTCGGGCAGCAAAACACCTAGAGCCGGCCCTGGTCTCTTCCAGTTCTATGAGATAAGTATATCTCCATATATTGGGAGCCCCAGCCCCAACTTGGTAGCTGCTGTAGAGGAGGAGAGACAGTTCTCCCCAAACTAGTGCTAAAACTTAATGAAAATTGTTTGTCCAGACAAGTGATTTCCATTACGTTTGGGGAGAGGTTTGGAAACCTTTAAGGCCAGATCTTTGTTATCTGGTATAGTTCTGGCTCTGCAGAGTTCTCTCATTGACTCTTAAGCAGCACTAGGTTTGGTGGGGATGCTGCTAGGTGTTTTGTAGGATAAAGACCTTATTTGCAAGCTCTTTGAAGCAGGGATCTGTCTGCAAACTCCAAGCCCTCTGTTCATGTGCTCCAGGGCTTCTAAAAACTCCGAGTCCACTGTGAGTTTTTGAGTTGGTGACACACACAATGTGAAACCAGGAGAACTTTGCCTGTTTCTACAGGGCTGTTGCACTTGCACAGCGTGGATCCTAAACACCCATAACCAACCACTTGATGTTTTATTTCCCTTCCTATTTTCAGTGTTGTCACTTGTTTGTTTGTGGTTTTGTTTTACTGTTTGTGTTCCTTTATTACTTAGTTTTACTGTTCTAGGTGTATGATGTGTTAATCAAATTTAAAGTGGACATGTCAGAGAAATTGCATATACCTGAGTGAATGCCTTTTCCGCTCCTTTTCAGTTTCAGAACATATTGTATTAATATTTGCAATGAGAGCATGATTATTTCTAGTTGACTCATAGATTTGTTTAGCATCTTAAAGCTGTGCTATGTGTGCAGATAATATGCATGCAAGAGAGATAGTTAATTATTATTAAGGGTTTTTTTATATGGCACTTTTATCCAACAATAGTTAGCTAACAGTACAAAGAACATTAGGAAAGATCATTTAGTTGGTGCTGGTCCTGCTTTGTGTAGGGGGTTGGACTAGAGACCTCCTGAGGTCCCTTCCAACCCAGATATTCTATGATTCTATGATTCTGTGATCCGCCAAGACCCTCAGCAATTTTCAAGTGGTCTGTGGGGAAAAAAGGTTGAGAACCACTGCCCTAGAAACTTGCCCATTTCCCCCTGGTTTTTGTTATCACTTGCTGTTAACTCGAGTGTATCTGCTTTGAACTGTATGTAACGGCCAGCAGGGCAGGGAGGCATCAAGTGCGGGGAGATCACCCCGGAGTGGGGACACCCAGCCCCTGTCCTGAGTGACCAGGCTCCTGGGCCCAGCCTTGTCGGGGTTTCGGGGACTCGGCCGAGCCGGATGGAGGAAGGGGAGCACTCGAGGGCACCCAGGCCTCCGGGCAAAGGGAGCTGGAGCGAGGACTCTAGTTTCACTAGCCGACTCCGCCGGGGCGGTGCAGACGTCAGGAAGGTTCCCCTGATAGCGGGACCATCCCAGGCCCCTGGGTGAGAGTAGCTGCGGGCGGGGAGTTTGCAGACGCTCCCTGGCTGGACTGGGCGGGGCTAGCCTGGAAAAGTGACTTTCGGTTTTCCAGCCTTTGCACCACAGCCCGGGCTAGTGAAGGTAACGGGGCCCCCACAGCCCCCCCGCTGCGGTCCAGGACCCCCAGTTGGGGAGAGAACCCAGGCATCCTGGCACCCAGCCCCCCCCCAACCGGGGATAGGACCCAGGAGTCCTGCCAGGGATACAAGTGTGTGTGCGCTGCCCCCTGTAACACGGCCGGGGGGTCTCTCCGCCCCCAGCACTGCGCAGGGTGGATGTAGGGAGAGGGGGGTTTGAAGTCACGGCCCAGCCCGGCCCCACTTCCCACTGGCCGGCCCCGGGAGTCGCGGGGACTCACCCTCAGTAGAGCGGGGTCTATGACCCGGGACGGGCAGATCCGGCTCTGCCCAGCAGGGGGCAGCGCGGCTCTGGCAGCGGGGCCGGGGAAGGGGGTTCGGATCGGAGCCAGAGCCGGAAATTCAGCAACTTGCTGGGTCAGAGGCGCCCGCCCCATTCTGTCCATCCTCAAACCCCCCACCCCACACAGTGCAACCCCCCTTTCCGTCCGTCTGTCCATCCTCACCCCCCC